ACCACCACCTACTGAGGTATGATCAAATTACAAAAAAACACCTCTTGTTTGGATAATTACAGTCACCCACTCCTTTTAAATATTTTTATATAAAATATATGTAATTCGGTCATTTACCGAAGCATATCGTATATTTAGTTCGGTAAACGGTATAAAATGTTGGCGTACCGAAATTACGGTTCGATTTTACCGAATTAACATCCTTAAATTTACCTTTGGAGGGCTCTTTTCGTAAGATAATACATAGTTGATGGAGTGACTATAATTACCCACACATGAAGGGGGCTTTTGTAATTTGACCATAACTCAGGGGTGACCGTAATTTTCCCTTACAACAAATCACAACTTGGAGATGCCTAAATCCTATTGTAGATATACTCTGAAAAAAAAAGCGTATACCTGATTTTATTATACATCGGAGAAATTACACGATGAAAATGGACTGCGTACTTATACAATAAACGACGTACGAAGAACGCTACATTATATATTCAAGTTTCGATCTCTGAAATACTCTGCAACGCTGGTCTCCACTGGCCTCCGCCGCCTTGATGCCTCGCAATGCCGCTACTTCCACCACCATCGCCGCCACTTCCAAGGCTTTGCTGCTCCTCACCATGCTCCGCCTGATGAATGAGAACAGCATAATGAATATAATATGAAATACCGTTACAACATTATTTCCTTTTCCATATGATAAGTTGTTGCACTTACATCCCCGATAATAAAATTACACCGAAATTCCGGCATTCGACAAATTTTATCATTTTTGAAGGATACACACATTTGTTGCTCGAAAATAAATTTTAAAAAGTAAAATCGACTCAAAACTAAACCAACTCTGCAAAAAATCAACTCAATTTTACCATTTGTCACTCTTAATTGACTACTCGTTGCCTAGTCAGTCCATGCATAATTAATTACATTTTAGTATATTCTTAATAAGTGCTAATTATAAAGCCCCTATAAATTTCTCATTTTCGCACTTTCCTCCCTTCGCACTTTCCTCCCTAAAACTTAAAAAATTGGATATTCTCCCTTCAAGATATTATTTTAATTGCACTTTGCTCCATAAGTCAATTTTTTGAGAACATTGTGTAACAAAAATAACATTTTAAAGGGAACACGTGCAAAAGAAATAGCGTTTATAAGGGGCAACGTGCAATAAAAATAACATTTGAACGGGCCCCATGCAACAAAAATACTCAATTCCGATGAATAATCCATGGTAGTTTTCCTATCGGAGCAATCTGCAGCAAAAATAATATTTTGAGGGGGCATTCACTTTTAAATATTTTGAGGGAGTAAAGTGAGAAACGTAGAAATTTACAGGGGTGATGTGCAATTTAACCAAAATTTAAATCACAAAGCTTTTAATTTACTTTACCTTAGCAGAAGAGAATCGACGGCCAGCCTGATTTCTCTCCTTCAACAACTTTCCTAATTTCACGCATTTTTTTGCAGCAAACTCCTTCAGCACATCTGCATAATTAATTAATTAATTATTACTAAATACTAATCCAAACATTAATGGAGACAATTACTGAATAAAAAATTATAAACAATTAATTAAATTATAAATTTATTATAATCCCTTTTTTAACGAATCGTACGTACCTTCAAAGCTGATGAGCCGATAAACCTGTCCCAATACAAGAGTGTCGTCTGGCCGGAGAAGCTTGAGCTGCTGCTTCACCGCCGCCGCGCCGTTCTCCTTCCTCCTCCTCGCCGACGCCGGCGAGGCGATCACCAGTGCCACGTAGTGTCCGGGGTTGGAATTCATGACCTCGTTGGCGCTCACCGACCAGTAAATCCTCTCCACCTTGCCGCCGCTGGGGTGCTGGATCACCACCGTCGCCGCCTCCGCCGCCTGGCAGTTCCCCATTCAAATCTGTTTTAATCGTTACCTCTCGGAAAAAAAAACGCGCATTAAGTTGGCGTGGAATTCACGCTCTAATATTCGCCGATTGCCGAGAAATTGATGAGCGTTTAATTCTCCAACTGAAAAGCTAACGGAAAACGCAACTGAAGATTCTCGAAAGGGTAAAACAGGAAAATG